GGGGAGGGGAGGAAGGGAGATGGGCTTTCCCTGTGGAGCTGTCCTGAACTTGTACCACATCCATCCTTTCCCCCACCCCCATCCTTCATGCCTCCCTGGACTTCCCCAGGACCATCTTCTTCTCTTTTTCCCACTCTCCCCTAGCACCGAGGCAGGGCCAGACTTTGAACTGCGGCTGGAGCTGTATGGGGCCTGCATGGAAGAGGAGGGGGCTCTGGCTGGTGCCCCCAAGAGGCTTGCCACCAAACTCAGCAGCTCCCTGGGCCGTTCCTCCGGGAGGCGTGTCAGGGCATCTCTGGAGAGTGCTGGGGGTTCAGGGAGCAGTACCATCCTACTCCCCACCCCGGCTGTGGGGTAAGGCCCTGCATTTGCCCACTGCCCTCACATGCCTATCCTGGTCATGGGTGACCTCTAAGCAGTGGGGAGCTTGCAGAACCTACTTTGCGTAGCTGCCAGGACATACAGACAGACATGGATGAGCAGTGGCCACATGGCTGGGAGGCACTCAGAGCTGGGCCCAAGCCAACTGAGATAATCAATAGGAATGCAGGGAGAGCTAGGCTCTGGGGTCTTCACTTTTTTTAGCAACAGATGCATCTTATATGGATAGACTAGAATGCCCTGGTTGGAGAAGGGTAGCCTGGGCTCTGTTGCAGCGCCTACAGGAGTATGGAAGCACCCTGTGGAACCACTGGGCCTCCGAGGAGCAGTTTGAGAATGTCTAGGGTAATGAACAGAATGCTGATTTTGGAGACACACATGGGTTCAAACTCCAGCTCCACCACCTACCTATCAGCTATATATTATGGACAAATTTCTTAACCTCTCTATGCCTCAAGCAGCCTCATCTGTTAGCTAAAGAATGCCACCAACCTCCCAGGGCTGTCGTGGGAATACAGTAGGATAACATACATAAAAAACACAGGACCTGGCACTTAGCAGGAGCTCAGTAAATGTTTGTTCCCAAGTCCTGTGGGAGAGGCTAGTTTTCTGTGTGGCCGTCTGAACAACAGGGCAGACCTGCTCAGCACTATAGCTCCTGCCATCTAGCACAGCTCTCACGTGTTCCTTGCTTGGCTGAAGCCCACTTCTCTGCCTGTCCTGCAGTGGTCCTCGGTACCACCTCTTGGCTCACACCACGCTCACCCTGGCAGCAGTGCAAGATGGGTTCCGCACACATGACCTCACCCTTGCCAGCCATGGTGAGTATGTATGGGCATGGGGACGCTGGGTGGTGAGAAGAGGGGCCATTGGATGACCCCCTTCTCATTCCCCATTCCCACCTTGCACTTCCCTCTCCCAGAGGAGAACCCTGCCTGGCTGCCCCTTTACGGTAGTGTGTGTTGCCGCCTTGTGGCTCAGCCTCTCTGCATGACTCAGCCTACTGCAAGTGGTTCCCTCAGGGTGCAGGTGAGGGCCCCTGAGGAGTGGAAGGGAACAGGGAGAAGGCAGAGGAGAGCTGGGTCACCTGGGAATTTAAGAACTGCTGAAAAATCAAGATCTGGGTGGGCGGAGGGGTATGGCAAAGGGGTGGCGTGGGCAGAAAGGAGCTGATTCTTGATGGAGGGCTGGGAAGAAGGGTGATGGGTGGTGTGAGTCCCCTAGGAAACCTTGAGTATCTATGCAGCAAGCTGGGGAGCGGCAGGACTGGACACGAGTGCACGGAGTCCTGAAAGGCACAAATCTCTTCTGTTACCGGCAACCTGAAGATGCAGATACTGGGGAAGAGCCGCTGTTTACTATTGCGATCAACAAGGTGATGGGTCCCCTGCTGGTCAAGCCACCAGGTGCTGGGGTCTGGACCCTCTCCTTCAGGCCCCAGGATGGTGGGTGCAGACCTTAGAGAGATCAAAGCCTCCTGCTCCTCACAGCACTGCACCCAACTCCAGGGCCAGGAACGCTGAGGGGCCTTCTTCTCCCTGACCAGCATCACTAGGAAAGGGTTGTCCCTTCTACATAGCAGCCTCAGCCCCTAGAATTCTCAGCGAGGGTTCTACAGCCAGTTTAGGATTTTCATCCACCTTCCATCTTCCCTCTCAGATTCTAATTTGCATCTACTCCACCCTTTCCTGGTTTCCTCTCCCAACCCAAGTCCAATGACCCCTCCAGTCACTCGCCCTTTTGCTGGCTTTCCTGCTGATTTTTATGGAGGAAGTAGTGAGGAACATTTGTCCTCAGCATTCCTGCCAGCCTCCGTGCCCTCCCCTGCCCACCCTCTTTCCGTCTCATGTGCTTCTCTTCCTGACTGAAGACCATCTGTCTCATCCCCAGTCCTTTCCTGCCATTCCTTCCCACTCTGCTCAGTAGGAGGAAATGAGAGGGCCTGGTGAAAGCCCCACGAGCTCCTCCTTCTGAGGCAGGGAAGATCAAACCCTCCTGAAGTCACTGCTGACTTCTGTGACCCACGTGGAGTTGGAAGCAGACCCCTTTTTTCTTTTGCAGGAGACGCGAGTCCAGGCAGGGGAGCTGGACCAGGCCACAGGCCGGCCCTTCACTCTGAGCATCACTAACCAGTATGGGGAGGACAAGGTGACACATAACCTTCAGACAGAGAGTCGAGGAGCCCTGCAGAGCTGGATGGAGGCTCTGTGGCAGCTTTTCTTTGACATGAGTAAGAGGAGGGGGCTGGATTGAACCTTTGGGAGGAATTGGGGTTTGTTACTTTTTACCATGGGCCTCTGTTTCAAGAATGTGTGGAAGGAAATGTAGCAAAGGAGAAGGTAGCCTGGCTCTCTCAGCCCTCCTCTCCACCCCCAATCAGTGCTCTCCCTTTAGGCCAGTGGAAGCAGTGCTGTGACGAAATCATGAAGATTGAAACCCCAGCTCCCCGGAAACCACCCCAAGTTTTGGCCAAGCAGAGGTCCTTGTACCATGAGATGGGTGAGTGAAAGTATACCCTGGGAACCTGGTGGGAAGTGGGACTGGAGGCATCAAGGGAACCCAGATAATGGAAACAGACAGAAAGTACACTTTGGGCTAAGGCAGAGCTCACGGACTCAAGTCCCACCCAGTTCTGTTGTTTCTTTCTCTCCTCCAACCCTTCTTAGAACCACTTCCACGAGAGTTCAAAACAAAACCCCAAAGAACCAGATTCATTTCATGGGTTTCTTTCCTAATTTCTTCTTTTTTGTTTCCCTTTCTGCATGCGGATTCCTGTCTCTTCCTCTGACCTTTACTTGCTTGGCACTGCTTTCATTTTCCTTCTTTCTTGATTTCTTCACCCACTTCTGCCCTAACCCCCCCAATCCCCATCCACCCTGCACCCTGAATCCCATAGTCTTATCAGAGCCTGGGGCTCCAGGGGGCCCAGGTGAGGGGCTGCTCCTGCAGGATAACGCAATCTCGGCTGAGATCCGGGCTTTGCTTTCCTCCTATTACAGTGATAGGTGATGGTCAGGGCTGGGTAGACCTGGGGCGTAAACTCTGACTAGCCCCCTCCCCTCAACCCCTTCCTGGTGCCACAGCTATTGAGCCTCTGGATGACATCGCAGCAGTGACAGACATCCTGGCCCAGCGGGAGGGCGTGAGGCTGGAGACGCCCCCACCCTGGCTAGCCATGTTTACAGACCAGCCTGCCCTGCCTAGCCCCTGCTCACCTGCCTCAGTAGCCCCAGCCCGGACTCATCCCCTGCCCTGGGGGCGTCCCCGAACATTCTCCCTGGATGCTGTCCCCCCAGACCACTCCCCTGAGGCTTCCCGCTTGGTTGCCCCTCTCCCCCCGCATCGATCCCCACGGTCCAGAGGCCTCTGCAGCAAAGGCTCTCCCCGCACTTGGCTTCAGTCACCAGTGTGAGAGAAAGGTGCTGGCAACAGGATCTGGCCAGAAGAAGAGATGACCTGTGTGTGGCTGGGCTCTGGATACAGTGCTATCTGTAGCAGGTTGGCCAGCTTGGCCTCCCCTTCCTCAGCTGGACTGGGGGTAGGTTGGGGATGGGGAGCAGAAGCCCCTCTTAAGCTGTGGTTACCATGGTGCTGAGGGACTCATTCCCGGGGCTGGCTGGGACCCCCTAAACCCTTCCTGGGAGAAAACTGGAACCAACCCTGCCCTACCTCCTGCACTAACCAGCTTTGAGGATGGCACTGGAGAGCACTGGGAGGGAACACACCAACCTTGTGATTCCCACATTGACCATTAAAGTTATTTAACAGCAGCCTTCACCTGGTCTTTTTTTTTTTTTTTTAATCCTTACCTGAGGATATTTTTCAGAGAGAGTGGGGGAGGGGGGATTGAGAAATAAACATCAATGTGAGACATACTCTGACTGGTTGCCTCCTGCATGTACCTGGATCAGGGCGAGGGATCAAACCTGCAACCAAGGTACATGTCCCTGGCCAGAATCGAACCCAGGACCCTTCACTCTGCAGGCTGATGCTCTAACCACTGAGCAAAACCAGCCAGGGCCACCTGGTCCTTGACATCAGGTTGCCTATGTTTGGCCTAGACCTGCCCCATCCCCTCTTCTCTGGAGCTTAGTTTGCTAGTTGTGAAGGATGACTTTGATACCGAGTAATTAGACAAGGACTAGGTGAAGGAAGTATTTTATAAATACCACAGGGAGAAAAGAGGGCTTCTCTGCTCTCACACACTGCTGAACCTCAGGATTTCAGCGAGGTCGTAGCCAGTTACTGCAAAGGAGCTGCCTGAGGGATCACAGAATCGGGCACCACACACCTGGGTGTCGGGCACACACTCGCCATGACAGTGTTCCACCTGGGGGAGAAGAGGGCTGCTCAGGGCCTGCTGCCCCGTGCTTGGGCCCCCCCACTCCACTCCTCTCTCCACACACACCTCTATGCAGCCACTCTCTGGGCTTCTGCTCAGCTTCCAGATGTGTACAAAGGTGTCCTCGGCAGCAGAGAGTAGCTATTTAAAGAAAGCAGGGAGAACAAGTGGGAGTCAGAAGGTGCTGACAGGACTGGTATAGGCTGCAGTGCCATACCAAGTGGCAAAGACAAGCCTGCGGAGTTCTCTCAACATGCCAGCACCAGGAACGAGGACATGTAGGGATGGAGGAGGAGACTGACCTTGCCCACCTCTGGAGCCAGGTCCAGGGCACAGATGGCCCGGGCGTGGGCGTTGATCTGGACGTGTAGCGCTCCTGTACTGGCCTCATACAGACGTACTTGCCCGTTCCCATAGCCCGCTGCTAGGATCCCCTGCCACAGCTGCGCAGAAGTGCACGGCTCCCTGCAAGGGCGACACCCCTCCTTGGTTTCCCCAGACCCAAGCCCACTCCCCACCCTGAAGCTGCCTCAGGAAGGCCTTAGCCCCTTTGCCTCACCTACCCAAATCCTGGGATTTGGGTCAATAATTTGAATTCAGGACCTGACCGCCAGACACACAGCAAGCCTGAGTCATCTGCCGTCACGATGTCAGCTATGCATTCCTGAGGGGAAAGGCAAGGTCAGCCCTTCTCTTTCTCTCATGCTGGGTCCTACATACAGGGGAATGGAGGCAGTATTTGCATCTTGGCCTCTCTAGGGAAAAGGGAGACATGGAGCCCTCACAAGCTGGACCCTGGGTTCCTTCAGGCAGCATGAAATACTTTCCCTGCATTCCTCACAGTCTCCCCACTCTCCCTTCCCACACACGCCATGTGTTAGGAAGGCGTATATAATTGTACTCAATGGATGGATGATGAAACAGGCCATAGTGTTATAACCTGGAGGTCTCACTAGACCAGTCATGGTCATAACTAGACTCAGCTTCTTGACTCCCAAACCCAGGCAACCAACATAGCCCATGGACCCAGCTCTGGGCAGATTCAGTAGAGGATATGAATTAGAAGATACAAACCCTGTTCTCAAGAGATTTGCAATCCAATTAGCAACAGAAGAGTTGTCGTTGAGGACAGTACCAATTCAGGAGTCAGCTAAGGGAGATCAGTGGGAGCTTGAATAGGGGGAAGACTTCCCGGAGAGGGTGGCACTGGAAGTGTAGGACTTGCCCAAGTCCAGAGAAGTAAGCTGCACATGTCAGAGCTCGAAAGCATCTTAGAAGCCATCTGTCCCAACTCATTCACATGAGTATTGAGAAGTGTTAGTGAACTACTAAATGCCATGTAAATGTAAAGTATCTCTGGCTTCATCACTGGGCCTGAGGTTGCTGAAGCCTAGGCAAGTGCAGCAGTTTGCCCAGAGTTATCCAGTTGCTTAGCTATAGAGCCAAGACTTGCATTCAGATCTCTTGCTTCGCAAGATAGGGAAGGACCACAGGCTCATTGGAATTAGAAGGGGGAATCCACTCACCTGTCCCTGAGCAGGCTCGCTGGCAATGTCTGTGACTGAGGTTGGGTGCCCAGCCAGCTCTTCGCTCAGTACAATGTTGGGACCCTTGGCTGGGATGTCAAATACCAGTACCCGGCCTGACCACGTACCTGCAGAAGCAGTGTGTCTTAGACCTCCTGAGTCTCCAGCCACCACACTCAGCACAGCCTCCATCCCAGAAACCTTAGTAACAAACCCACCTCTCACTGTTCCAATAGCCCTGCCCCTGCATGACTACCCTTATTCTATCCCACCCTGCCCTTCTGAACCAGTCCATGGCTCTTCAGAGTCTCTGACCCCCCTTCACTTCCACCCTTCCTTTTAACCCTCCACAATTTCCTCAGACCTGCAGCATCCTCTGGACCAAAGCCGACACCTTTATACCCCAGCACCCCTCAATGCCCTCTCACCCACACAGATGAAATGACCACTGGAAGCAATTCCTCGGGCAAACACAGCCTGTACTGAGTATGAAAGGGGAAAACTATTAGAAATAGCGCTTCCTCCAGCCCAGCAAACACTTCCTACCCACACCCAACTTAGTCCTGCAGGTACCTGGAGAGGCATCTCCAGAGTCCAGCGCGTGCCAATAGACCATGACGGAGCCATCGGACTCATACATCTGGAAGACGAGGGCAAGGGCAGAGGCACAACCCAGCTAACCTTTGCTGTGCTCCATGCTGATTATGTCACATACTCATGTTAGCCTTAGCCAACTGAATCCTCAAAACAACTCTGGCAGGTAGTTGTTCCTACTTTTATTCCTACTTCATAGAGGAGGACACTGAGGTTCTGATAAGTTAACTAAATTGCCCAAGGTCAAACAGCTAGCAAAGGGACGGATATTGGAGAGGGTACTTGGGAATTTAAAAAGATGGAAGGAGTGAAGATGAGAAATAAGGAAGTGTGGGCTAAGCATGTGTAAAACTTGGGAGTATTTAGAGGCAAGTGTGGAAGGGCCTTGGGTCCTTGGAGAGAAGTTGAGAAGACTAATCTGGGAGGAAAGGAAGGTCCTCCTCTTACCTGTATTCCTCGATGTGAGGTGAGTACCAGCAGTACTCGAAAGGGGAGGACACACCAGTGGACCTGAGGGAGGTGGATCGAGAAGTGGTCAGCAGGAGACATGAGGACTCAGAGGAGCAGAAATTCTGAGGGTTAGGGAAGGCCTATTCCTTGAGGCTTGGAGAAGAAGGAGCGGTTAGGGCTGGGTTCAGCAACCCCGCTTCCGACTCCATGCCTCACCTGGGTGATAAGTGGGGGGCTCACTCCAGCTCCCTCCTTGGCGTGGAGCTGGCGCTGAGCCAAGGGCACACCCTCAGGAGCAGCGCTGAGAAGCTGGGCGCTGGGTCCATGGACTACCCCAAAGTGTGTGAGGTTGCAGACCGGCAGCTGCAGCACACTGAGGTTGTTGCACAGGGCGGCAGCCGAGCCTCGCAGAGGGATGGAGCGCTCCCGGCGGAACATCCTAAAGGAGAAACGCTCGGGGCTAAACAGACGACAACGATGGTTCCGGAGGGGGGGAGGGGGGGCGGCAGGTGCTGTCATAAGACACTGGGGGAGACCTCTGAGGCTGGGTCTGATGTAATGCGTCCCCCCACCCCCCAGGACGGTGATGGTGGGTCTGGCTTGGGGTGGGTCTCGTGGAGCAAGAGAGTAGATAGAGCCCCAGGGCTGAGTCATGGGGTGACGGGGGAGTCCTGGAGGAGGAATGGTGACCCCAAGTGCCCGAGTCAAGGCGGGTTAAGGCAGGGTAGTCTCCAGGCCCTTCCATCCTCGGTTCGGCGTCCCGAAGCCCCCAGCCCGAGTCAGAGGTCACACGGCAGCCCCACGTCGTCTTGCCTGACTCCAGGATCGCCGGGTCCCTCCAAATCCTCCGCCACCATAGAGACGACGCACGTACGCAGGCGATGGGCGGGGCGAACAAGGGGAACGTGCCGCGCGCGGCGCGGTTGCCGGGGCAACTGTGGGCGGGGCGAGCCGCGGAGCACAGGGCGAGGTTGCCCCGGCGACCGTTAGGCGGCCCAGGTGGCCGCAGCTGCCCCGCTGGGAGCTGTAGAAATCTCAGGGTTGGAGACAGAGGCGGCGATGGCGCACGAAAGCTCGGTAAGCTTCAGCTGCGGTTGCACCAGAGCCGGATCGCCCTTTAAAAAGGTCGGCGTCGGGAATCGTGGGCCGGCTCCGCGCAGCACGCAGGCGTTCAAGATGACCAAGGAACCCGCGTTGATACTTGGCCAAAAACCCTACACTTGCACCAGGCTCACTCACACGCTCTGTCGCACTCCGAAGCTGAGGGAAAAGGTCGAATGAGGGGTGAAGAGCCCAAGAGCAAGAAGTTACTTTGGGCCCTAGCCCGGTTGGCTTAGTGGTTAGCGCGTCGGCCTGCGGACTGTAAGGGCACCGGGTTCGATCCCGGGGCAGGACCTCGGTTGCAGGCTCAGTCCCCGGATCCTGTCAGGGCTGGTGCGGGAGGCAACCAGTTGATGTGTCTCCCTCACTTCGGCGTTTCTCTTTCTCTCTCCCTCACGCTTCCACCTTCTCTGAAAAGCAATGGCCGGGCATAGCTCAGCTGCTGAGCATGACCTGGGACCCAGGAGAGGGGGTTCAGTTCCGGGTCAGGGCACCTGCCCGGTTGCGGGCCCCACCCCCAGTCCCGGGCGTGCAGGAGGCGGCCGACCAATGACTCTCTCATCACTGATGTTTCTCTCTCTCTCCCTCTCCTTTCCGCTCTCTGAAATCAGTAAAAAGGTACATTAGAAAAAAAGAAAATCCTCGGGTGAGTTTTAAAAAAATTACTTTGGAAACAGCTAATGAATGTAATTAGTTTCTTGCCCTGAGGTACCCATTTAAATGGATTAACGAGAATTGGTACGGGGTTGGGGAAAGGTGTTGCTAAATAAATTATGCATTTTGAGAGTTTCAGGAAGAAATGGATTAAAAAACAACAACTCTGAGGCTACACTTGAAAATCAAATTGTTTTAAAACAAGATAACTTAAAATAAAACATTTGAAGAGCCTTTGTGTGACAATATATATCTCTGGCTCCTCCAGTCAGGTCACGATCAGGGGTGTCTCATGAGAGGCTTGGAGGGGAAGTCTAATGAACCGACTCTCCCCTCCCAGCCCTGCCTGCCCTGTGCTAGTCAAGCCCCGGCTGGTCTTTGGGCCATTCTTCAGGTTTGCCACCAGGGCTGTTATCACTAGCAGAGAGGGGAAATGAGGCTTAAGGGGTTTTGAGTTCCATGTGAAGTTTAGAAAATATCAGATTTGAGGGAGAATGGATTTTGGGGGAACATCAGGTATCAGTAAGGTTGGGGAATGAGGAGGCAAAGGTTTGGGAAGATTGCATTTGGAGGTAAATTTTGGAGGGACCCAGGTTCAAGTAGGCTCTTGTGGGGAAGTGAGGAGGCTCCCGATAATCTGCTATGTCCTGAAATTCCTAGGTCCTGAAATGAATTTTTGGGACTAGTCTTTATCTTTTTAAGTAGATTCATTCCCCCCCCCTTTTCTACCACTGCCCATTGTTCTCCTGGTTGCAAGTCTTGTGGGGACCCTTAGAATTTAGGAGATGCTCACCTGAAAGGGAAGAGAGGCATGGGAGAGCATGACCTGGGTCCTCTGTCTTGATGATTTTAAAGGCTGGGAGTTTAAAGGGGACATCTGTAATACTTTCAACAATAAAGATAAATTAAAAAAAAAAATAAAGGCTTGGAGTTTAGGGGAGGATCGCAATAGAACATTCATCAGCTTTATGCTGATGTGCCAAAAGGAGATTTATTCCCTTAACTTTAACAGCCCTTGGGTTCGGTTGGATTTCTGCTATCTATCTCCCTGAGTAGGGTGATTTAAGCTATTTCCCTCTGGTTGGGGAGAAGTGTAAACCATTTACTCTAAGTGTCCTTGGTGAGGGAAGACAGGATTTTGCAATTTTATTTTACTTTGTTTTTTAATTACAGCTGACATACAATATTATATTAGTTTCAGGTGTACACCCCAGTGATTAGACACTATATAACCCACTAATTGACCTGCACCCATCTGATACCATACATAGTCATCAGAACATTATTTACTATATTTCCTATTCTGTACCCTATAGTCCCAAGACTATTCTGTAACAACCAATTTGTGCTTCTTAATCCCTTCATCTTCTTCATCCATTCCCCCCACCCCCCTCCCATCCGGCAACCGTCAAAATGTTCTCTATATCTGAGTCTGTTTCTGTTCTGCTTGTTTATTTTGTTTTTTAGATTCAATTGTTGATAGATATGTATTTATTGCCATTTTATTATTCATATTTTTTTATCTTCCCCCCCTTCTTCTTAAAGAACACTCTTTAACATTTCATGTAAAACTGGTCTGGTGGTGATGAACTTCGTTAGCTTTTTCTTGTCTGGAAAGCTCTTTATTTGCCCTTCAATTCTAAATGATAGTTTTGCTGGGTAGAGTAGTCTTGGTTGTGGGTCCTTGCTTTTCATCACTTTGAATATTTCTTGCCACTCCCTGCAAAGTTTCTGTTGAGAAATAAGATGACAGTTTTATGGGAGCTCCCTTGTAGATAACTAACTGCTTTTCTCTTTCTGCTTTTAGAATTCTTTCTTTGTCTTTAACCTTTTGCATTTTAATTATGATGTGTCTTGGTGTGAGCCTGTTTGGGTTGATCTTGTTTGGGACTCTCTGTGCTTCCTAGACTTCTATGTCTGTTTCTTTCACCAGGTTCAGGAAACTTTCTGTCATTGTTTTTTCAAATAGATTTTCAATTTTTTGCTTTCTCTCTTCTCCCTCTGGCCTCCCCATGATACAAATGTTGGTATGCTTGAAATTGTCCCAGAGGCTCCTTATACTATCTTCATATTTCTGGAT